TGAAGCGTAATCCGCGTCGACAAACGTGATCAAAGAAAATCCCGAAACCGTCCCTCTCTGAAACGAAATCCCGAAAGAACTAGTCCTAACTGCATATCCTAAAATACTAAGTGCAGCCTTCCAGTGAATCAACTTCGGTGCACCAGAGTACCTCGCTACTGCTCTCACCGAATTCGCGATATCCGGCCTAGTCAACAGGGCAATCCACAGCAGCGACCCAACCAGCGCTCGAAACGGGTGCTCTACGCTCGGCTCGTCCGCGTCGAAGTCCCAAAGTTTCCAGGTGGTGGGCAAAGGAATGCCTCCCCCCCACTCCACACCATATCTCTCTCCCAACTCTTCGGTGNGTATGACACAACTCCAAGTCAAGCTCACACGCCAGAGCTGCCAACATACGAACNTCCAGAAGACACTTGTTGAGCAACGCGTACCACTCCCTAGATGCCTGCCTCAAGCCATAAAGACTCTTGTTCAACTGCACTATCTTCCCCGACAACGCACCACATCCTTCCGGCATTCGCATGAAAATATTTTCATTGAGAGGGGCCCTCACAAAGGCCTGATCGATATCGAAGTGACACAACTCCAAGTCAAGCTCACACGCCAGAGCTGCCAACATACGAACACTCGACGAAGCTACAGTAGGTGCATACAAATCGCCAAAGTCAATGTACTCCTTCTGCATGTCTCCTCTCGCAACAAGTCTAGCCTTGGCCTTTGTAGGAAAGCCGAACGCATCTACCTTCCAATCAAAAAGAAGCTTTGACTTGATGCAGTTGTCTATTCGCTGCTACGGTCCAACAATCTTAAACGCGTCTGCTTCTAGCAATCCAAACACCTCACGCTTGGCCGCATCCATGAACTGCACGCTGTGTTCGCTCTGCTTCGCCTCTCTGAAAGTCTGGGGTACTCGGAGGTCCTTGGCGTGGCAGCGCGGCATGTCGGGTCGCAGGAGAGGCGGCTCCATCTCGCGCATAGCTGAGTCAAGGTCGTCACGCGTCGCAAGACGCGCCACAAGTCCAAGCGGGACGCCCCGCTTAGACGGACCGATCGACCAACCA